AATCAGCTGGGCATGGTGGCGCGTGCCTGTAATCCCAGCTACTCAGGAGGCTGAGGCAGGAGAATTGCTGGAACCCAGGAGGCGGAGGTTGCGGTGAGCCGAGATCGCGCCATTGCACTCCAGCCTGGGTAACAAGAGCGAAACTCCGTCTAAAAAAAAAAAAAAAAAAAAGATAATAGAAAAGTACTATTTTTGACTTCCTATTCCTTCGACAAGATGGCATTGCAATAAACACATGCATACGCTTGGGTATTTGTAGGAAATGCTGTTGAAGAATCAGACTACATCTCGATGGGCCATTTCATTTATTAGGTAGTCATTTAATTTTTGTGTGAAGTTCTTGTTTATTGAACTTAATATTATGCCTTATTTGGAATCTGCAGTGAAGCTGTACAGTGTGGTTTCTTCTGGACATAACTTTATAAATTTTTGTACTAATTACAGGTTTGATCATTCCGGCAAATTGTGTGTCTCCACTTGTAAATCTCCTGTCAACTTCAGACCAGTCTCAACAGCTTGCGGTCCAACAGAAGCAGCTATGGCAACAGCATCACCCTCAGAGCATCACCAACTTGAGCAACGCGTAAAGAACAGACAGGTTTCAACATGGATGTATCTGAAATGCTGTTGAAGCATATCATTTGCATAAAAATCAGGGACAGTTTCCAAAGAATTATATATTTTTTTCAGTTGTGCTCTCTCTAGTTAGTTTTTTTGGGAGTAAGGACAAACCTGGAATAGATAGCAAAACTGAAAATCAGCAGTGCTGATGGTGGTACATATGTCTTTCCTTTTGCTTCTCCCCTGGTACTTCCCATCTGCTTTTACTTTGGGTAAGCAGAGGGGGATGTGTGCGTGCGTGTGTGTCAGTCTGTTTGTGAGTGTGTTAAAGGCTACAGACCACAGTTGGTTTAAAATGCTTGGAACTTCCCAAACTGGCTTTACTTTTATGTTTATACAGTGCTCAGGGTTAATGCAGTACATCCATGCCATTGCTGTGGGAGGTATCCCCGGATGCATGTGTTTTGAGTCTATAAATATAGAAAATATATATTGGTTTCTTTTTCCAACTTAATAGGTTTATTAAAGCATGAGATGAAAAGTTACATACCATGCATTCAGGTTATTTTCTAATTTTTGTTCTGACAGTGCATGTCTTTGAAAGCATGCGTCAACAAGATTAACACAGAAGTCGAGTAACAGAGAGAAACATTTGTTAGATGTACAGCATTGGTTATTGCATTTTTATAGTGTTTATACCTGGGTATTGCTTCTAACCCTGCAGACCCCTCCTGCCCCTTTTCCTCCCTGCCCTGTGTTTCTGGTCAAGGTAATGAGTACATACATTTTTCTGTGATAAAACTCTTAAAATTTAATTTTAATGTATTAATAGTATTCCTAATGTGTGCTGCAGAAATGGCTATAAGCCTCTTAAATTTACATTTTCAACTTAAAGGTAGTTTTAGAAGGAAGTACAAATTGGCTTTCATCCTGCAAACAATTGTTTTTTACTTCATTATCTTAATTTGCTTTATCACTCTATAAAGGAAACCGTACTTGAGCTGTAGACAATGAGGAAACATTTGAGGCTTCTGCTGTATGTTTTTTTTGTTACTGTTGTTATTGTTGTTACTCAGTAACTTGAATATTGTTTAATGTGTTGTAAGACATTGTAGAGTTTATCTCAAGCTGTTAAAAATGGTAATGTACAAATGTGAATAGACACTTATCTATATAATATGGGTAAGTTTTGTTTCGCCTATAATAGATGTTTATAAAAACAAGTGAGGGGACAGTTGGTCTTTTTATTTCCTTTTCCTTCTTTCTTTTGCTTGCACAGGTTGCACTATTGAAAAATCGAGATTGTATAAACCTGGTAAAAGCTGCAAGATGCCAAAATCTTGTAGATGTCAAATAAAAAGTTATTATACTAACAAGAAGTGGACTCTTGTTTAGGTCCTCACTGGTGACCTTCAAAAGTAGTCTGTGACGGGGACTCTGCAGAACTTGTGTGTTGCCTCAGCATTCCAGTTAGCCTTATAGTTTGGCTTAAAACCTATTGCTAAAATTTGAGATGGCATTGAAGGAAGGGGTAAAATGATAGTACTTCCGAATGTGTTTTTCAAGTTGAATTGTTCGCTTTGTTAACTTTTTAAACTTCTTGCAGAATTGGGTGAGATGTGTGTTAGCTGACAGAAACCTGGCCGAAAGCTTAGGATGCTCATCCTCTGTGTCTCTAGCCTGAGTTTGGTTATGTCACGCTTACCCTAAGTTTTCTTAGGATTTATTTATTCTTGGTGCCTAAAAGAGTAAGTTGAAAGTACTTTCTGTTCTTTGGCACATTTTGCCCAGTGGATGCAACTTCTCTCCTCAGTCCAGCTCATGTATCTCAGGCAGTGATCCATTTTCTATCCCTTATTAGGGCCACTAGACCTAGCAGGCAGCCAAGAGCAGCACTGTCCCCACCTTCAGCAGAACTTCTCAGCTCGTGTGTGTTTTAAAAGCAGTAGTCAGCTTCCATCAGCAATGCAAGTGTCCCCACTCAGTGGAGGTACAGTCGCTGGACCTGAGGACGGGAAGAATTACAAATCCTCCTCCAGTGAGACAGAGTGGCAGGATTGGGAAGGATCTTCTCTTGCAGGCTGTTGGCCCAACTCTTCTTTCTGTTGTTACCAGGGCATCTTAGTTTTTTATGGTGTTTTCAAAGCAGCATATGCGGATTCCTTAGCATGCAGCTAATTGACACCCCCCATGGCTTCTAATGTAATAACATTTGCTCTGGACCAGCCATCTTTATACACAGGAGCATATGTATCTTAATGTTCTTGTAGAACAGCTTTGCCCCCCCGCCCAATGAAAACAAAAAGGCCTCTGAAAGCCCTCTCAAAACAGACCTCAAAAAGGCAACCCATGTGAATGGATGGGAGCCGGGGTGCTACATGCCCAGGCTGGTCATGGTGTGTGCACTTCCCAGAGTTGCACCCACCCCTTCAGGTGGACATCCAACCTTTACACTGTGCTCTTACAAAAGTCAGCGAGTTCAGGTCAGCCACCCTATGAAGCTTCAGTATTCAAGGTCCTCTCCTATTAAAACCCAACTCTTGGCTGGATGTGGTGGCTCACACTTGTAGTCCCGGCACTTTGGGAGGCTGAGGCAGGCAGATCACTTGAGGCCAGGAGTTCGAGACCAGCCTGGCCAACATGGCGAGACCCCATCTGTACCAAAAAATTAGCCACTAACTTCTGTAAAATACGTCCATTTATTCCAGGCTGTAAATGCCACACCTGAATCCAGAGGCCTTGTTTAACCTCATGTCCATTTTGCCTCTGCAATGCCTTTTTCTTCTTTTTAGCAATATGGCTCTGAGCACAAAGATTTGATTGGAAATCGTGTTGGTGTTTTCAGAGTTTACAGTGTCAGTTGTACTGAAAACCACTTCCAGAGTCTAAAGCAGCTCAGATGTTATTTTTGGGGGGAGTTAGTGTTCCCCTAATTTAGCAGCCTCTACACCACAAGGTCTCTATCTGTAGTAACTGAGATTATCCAGATATACTATCAATGATACAAATCCGTAGAAGTATTATGCATTTCTTTAAACACATCTTGATTAAGAAGCAGATCTGTTAAGCAGTTTTCTTATTCTGCTGCTCAGTTGCAGTTAGACACTTCAGTATCTTCTTTTTACATGTGTATATAAATTAGCAGGAACCTGTATCCAAAGCAATGTAGTAGTGTGTGTGTATTTATGTATATTTATTCTAACTCAGCACTTCAGAAGCCTTTTTGAGTTACAACAATAAATCTTTTAGTTTGCTTCATCTGTAGAGGTAAAAGTTCTATATTACCAAGCTCCACAGGAATATAATATTTTAGAGGCACAATTTTCTGGCTGTAGCCCCTGGGGCATTCCTTTGCTGGCCCGCATGGGATGCTGTTAGAACAACTGTTCGCAAGCAAGGGAAGAAAGGGTACCAGGACAGCGTTCACAGTTGTAGAATGGGAGCTTTCTGCCTTCTCCCCTCCACTTTCGTTTTAGCATGAAAGAAAGAAAAAAAAATAATAGATTCAAAATGATTGTTGCATCTCAATTCATGAAAGTAGGGGCAGAAGTTCCCTCTGGATCCTTTTCTTGACAAGCAGTCCAGAGGAAGGTCCTCATACACACGTACCTGTGTGGTATTTGGTAGTTTCTAAGATTGGTGCTACGTAAGTGTTGCTGTTAGGCTGGGATCCTGTTAATGAACGTTTGGTTAGTTCAGGCCTCCCAGTGGCAAAGGCAAGACACCGTGGTGATGGACATGTACTGACTCCCCTTCTATGTGACTTTGGTGGCCCTGGCTAACACCACACCCAGGCTTACTGCGCTCAGCCCACTTAGCTGCAGAAATGTAGCAAGGCTTCCATGTCAGGGCTACAGCTGAGAGTAAAAACTGCAAAAAAAGGTCTCATTGGATGCCAATTGTCTGATACAAATGCAGTGTCTTTGAAGTGACAGAAACACACCTAAATACCTGCAACTCAAGCTCACTGGCATTTTTTTGTGTGTGAGTACTTGAGACAGAATCCAAAACCCACCCTCTAATTTTATGATGTAATTACATATATGTACATAAATGTATATATATAGAAATGTCGAATTCTTCTGAATTCTGAATGTAAATAATTCTTGTAAAGTGGGACTCCGCCTACCTGTTTCTCCCTTTTCCCTCTTTCCTTCAGCTCTATTTATTCTTTGCTTGACTTTCCCATATGGGGCATCTTAGGACTTTTTTTCATTTAGAAAAGTATGGGAAACTTTTCATTTAGAAAAGTGTTTGCTTCTGTATTTTAGAATTCAGTTTTGCATCTTTGCTGTAGAATTCCTGTCTGTTTTGTGTTAATGTTTTTTAATATGTCTGATTGTGTTTTACATTTTTATTACTATTTTTATTGTGTGCAATGCATTGTAATGGGGGTGTGCACTTGAGTGCTGTTTTTGATACTGTCATTGTATGGCTGGTCTTGCTCATTCATGTTGTTCTTTGGAAGCTGTAGTGAGCCTGATGTTTTCACATTTAAAAAAATGCTTCCCGAGACTTCTTTAAGCTCCTCTAATTTCTTCAGTGCATTTGGGATCAGACTTAGCTCTTAGATCAGCAAGCCTGACTTGCTCCTACTTTTGCAATTTTTCAGGCCTGTACCATATTTCTTATCTTTGGCTTCCCACCTGATAGGAAAATCTTGCAGATTTGAAACAGTGGTTTCTGGCCTGCTCTTGCTGCTGCAAATTCCCTGTTTATTTAAGAAGTTGGACCTATGCTTTTAACCTGTAAATAATGAGTAATTTACTTTGCAATGAACACAGGTAGTCTGCTGCTGTTACAACCTTTTGAGGATATTCATAGCAGGCAGAAGGCAGGCCTAGTGCGTTATTGGCAGGTGACTTTAGAGAATGTCCATTAAGGAACAACTGTCCTCCAAAAGAGAGCCAGGCAACTGCTGCGGAGCCTCCTAGGCTGACTCTGTTGGAGGGTTAGACAGGTGTGTGCCCACTGCCGTGCTGGCCCATGGGGTCCCTGAGCAGCTGTGCTCTCCACTCTTGTATTGGTGAGTGGATCTTGACCACATCAGTCAGAAGCCTAGAAGCGGAGCTAGATGGAGGCATTTTTAATAATTTGAGTTGGGAAGACCCAGATGGCTTATGAAAATAGTGTTGTTGGGCCGGGCGCGGTGGCTCAAGCCTGTAATCCCAGCACTTTGGGAGGCCGAGGCGGGTGGATCACGAGGTCAAGAGATCAAGACCATCCTGGTCAACATGGTGAAACCCCGTCTCTACTAAAAATACAAAAAATTAGCTGGGCATGGTGGCGCGTGCCTGTAATCCCAGCTACTGAGGAGGTTGAGGCAGGAGAATTGCCTGAACCCAGGAGGCGGAGGTTGCGGTGAGCCGAGATCGCGCCATTGCACTCCAGCCTGGGTAACAAGAGCGAGACTCTGTCTCAAAAAAAAAAAAAAAATAGTGTTGTCGAGCACCCGGGAGGCAGACATTGGGTAGTTGTTCACAATTTGGCACCCTGCAAGAAAATGTTCCTCTGTAACTTTCAGGGAGGATTGCTGTGAGCCTCTCTGGGGCCTTTCATTCATGTACAAGTTTCATTCATTACTATTCAACTTGGTAGACTTGGTGAAAATGTAAAAGCGTTCTGCATTTGGATCAGTCTTGGGAACTAAATTTGTCGTGAATTGGGGCCTGTCACAGATTGCCTCCAGTGTGAATCCCCCGCTCGGACCCTCTTTGCTCAGCCTCCCTCTGGAGCCCATTGGGAAGCCGCGCTGTGGCTGGCAGTGGGGCCATCTGGGCTGCAGAAATGTGGCAGGGCACAGTCCACCAAGACTGCCTCTCAGTGCAGGGTTGAGCAAGGGAAGAGGCAGGAAAAGTTGCTTCTTTCTGGTACTTATAATTCAGGCATTCTCCACAGTGAAGGCCACTCTGCAGGCCCCTGCTGAGAACCTGCCTGGCTTTCCATTACAGGCCCCTAACCAGTACCCTGCCCTTTTGGCCCGTTTGTGCCTGGGCAGATGTTTCTGGCCAGCAGACACTGAAGGCCTTTTTGCTATGACAGCATTTATGGCACTGAAGAAGATAAAGAAGCTTGAACCCTCTTCTGACTCCCACTTGATGGGACAGAGAGAGCTGTTTTTCTACATAGCACATTGCAGTCTTACCGCTATCAGAAAAATATCCTGTTCATGGTTTATACTGATATTTGCAAACTACTGATATGATTTTTCAATAACCACTTGTATCTTCCATCGTCCATGAGAGGTGGGAAGAGGTACGCTGTATCTCTGCAATAAAACTTTGACCAGGTTCTACCTCCTCTGAGCAAAGGATACTTTTCTATGTAGGCGTAGATTGTTCTCCTTTCCTAATCTGACATGGTGCATCTGGAGACATCTGATGGAATCCAAAGACAACTTGAAACAAAGGTGGATGTCAGCTCTCAGTTTGTTTTCATTTCATTCTCTTTTTTTAAAATCTTCCTTTTGCTATCGCTCCTGTTGTGGAGTATCCGTCAGTGTGTGAAGGGTACGCCCTGTTCCAGTGATACTGCACTGCTGCATCCAGCTTTTCGTGGGAACACAGTACCAAGCATCTGGAATTGATTATCCCAAACATTTTTGATATGTACTTAAAAATTTGGCCTCATGCAATAAAAATGTACTGGCTGCATTTTAGCAAGGTTTACTCTTGCAAGTGAAAATGATCAACCGTGAAGCGTAACAAATTCTGTATTTAGTTTTTTTTGTTGTTGTGGTTTTTGTTTTGTTTTTTTGTTTTTGTAAGATTCTTAAATAAATTAAATAAGAATCACTGGTTGTGCTTTCTTTGTTTGGATGCTGTCTTTGCGGATCTCATGGACATCTTCATAGTGTCTTTATAAAAGTGTTAAGTGCTATCACCGTGCCTTTGCAGATGGCACAGACACTGAGGGAGCCAGCCAGGGTGGGGTGGTACCCAGGCCAGGTGCAGTGTGTGGGCCCGGAGTGGGCTGCTGTCTCAGACTGCCGTGGAAGGCGGTGGAAGGGAGAAAGGGGTGGGATGCAAGTGGGTATCTGAGCAGCATTTACTGCATGGCTTGTCTGGGAGTTTCTCTGTGATGTTGGAAATTCTTTGGAGAGGCTAGGCCCTGTGACTCACTCCTGTAATCCCAGGATTACAGGATTTGGGAGGCTGAGGCAGATGGATCAAGAGGTCAGGAGTTCAAGACCAGCCTGGCCAAGATGATGAAACCCCGTCTCTTCAAAAAAACACAAAAATTAGCCAGGCGTGGTGGCATGCACCTGTAATCACAGCTACCCAGGAATGCTGAGAGGCAGGAGAATCACTTGAACCCAGGAGGTGGAGATTGCAGTGAGCTGAGATCACTACATTGCACTCTAGCCTGTGTTCTAGAGCAAGACTCCATCTCAGAAAAAGACTAAAAGAAATACTAGGGAGAAGCATATTCAGTTTGTAGCCTAATGTACATAAGGGTATTTGAGCAAATTTGTAAATAGTGTTAATGTTTAGGGGGGATTTAACCTCCCAAATATATGAAATAATTGAGGATTGAGGACCAAGTGAAAAGTGAGTGTTTAAACTACAATTTGACTAAATATTTCTGTGTTGAGTTTGAAAACTAAAACAGGTTTTTAAAGTTATAACCTTAATAAATTGGGCGTTGGCTAGGCGCAGTGGCTCACTCCTGTAATCCCAGCATTTTGGGAGGCCCAGGCAGGCAGACTACCTGAGGTCAGGAGTTAGGGACCAGCCTGGCCAACATGGTGAAACCCCATATCTACTAAAAATGCAAGAAAGTTCGCTGGGAGAGATGGCGGGTGTCTGTAATCCTAGCTACTCAGGAGGCTGAGGCAGGTAAATAATAAATTGGGTTCTAACTTAGTTTTGTTTTGGTTTTTTATTTATTTATTTATTTTTTTGAGACAGAGTTTCACTCACGTTACCCAGGCTGGAGTGCAATGGCGCGATCTCGGCTCACCACAACCTCCGCCTCCTGGGTTCAGGCAATTCTCCTGCCTCAGCCTCCTGAGTAGCTGGGATTACAGGCACGCGCCACCATGCCCAGCTAATTTTTTGTATTTTTAGTAGAGACGGGGTTTCACCATGTTGACCAGGATGGTCTCGATCTCTTGACCTCGTGATCCACCCGCCTCGGCCTCCCAAAGTGCTGGGATTACAGGCTTGAGCCACCGCGCCCGGCTTGTTTTGTTTTTTTAAAACGAGCCACTCTTATTGTCCAGGCTAGAGTGCAGTGGTATGATCTCAGCTCACTGCCACCTCTGCGTCCCGGGTTCAAGTGATTCTCCTGCCTCACCTTCCCGAGTAGCTGGGATTACAGGTGCCCGCCACCTCTCCCACTAACTTTCTATATTTTTAGTAGAGACGGGGTTTCACCATGTTGGCCAGGCTAGTCTTGAACCCCTGACTTCAGGTTATTCGCCCGCCTCGGCCTCCCAAAGTGCTGGGATTACAGGCGTAAACCACTGCATCCTGCTGGGTATTAATTTGAATAGGAAATAGTGGCCAG